TATATATACACACATATATATGTGTATATATATATATACACATATATATGTGTATATATATATATATACACACATATATGTGTGTATATATATGTGTATATATATATGTATATATATACATATGATTTTAGAAAAGAATATTTCCTTTGCATTTCTGTTGCTTTTTCCACATGTTTAAGCCTGGACAATTGTAGTAGCCTACTGTCTAATTTCCATTTTATTACTTATTTATATTACTGTCAAATTTATATTGCAGGCCATTGCTTCATAATGTTAAAAAGTCTTCAGAGGCTTCCAGTTACATATAGGGTAGAAAATACACTTTATACCCTAAAACTCAGCCCTGTTTCTCCTATAGTCTGATTCCAGACTTGCTCTGAAGTCCAAGTTAGTTTGCCTATTTTTTTGAAAATAGTCTGATTTTTTTTTTTTTTTAATCTTCTAATGCTTTGGCTCATATGATAGAACATCGACTAAAATATTCCTCTCCAGTGTTCTTCTCATTCTGGGCTATGTAAACCCCTACCATTCCTTCAGAGTAGATATTCCAGGAAACATGATTCAAATACCCTTTCCTACAGTGATTTTTTTTTTTAATTGAACTACTGAAATGCATATTTTTCATACCAGTTCATTTAGGCCTTAGTTGACTGTCTTGTGTCATTGATTTGTTACACATGCCTAGTGTGGTTATTTGTGTACCTGTCTCATCTCCCCAGATAAACTTTAAATTTGCTTAATGCAAAACTTTCGTACTTTTCAGTGTCTGTCACTGAATACCTTGCATATTTACCATTTGCTTAATACATTGTAAATGAAGACGTAGATGTAAATGAAGATGTAATTTTAATAGGTTTGTTTTGATTCGGTGTTTCAGAAATGCTTTTAAAGAAGATGCATAGCTATCTATATGAATATATACACATACACACAGACATACATATGTCAGTTTTACAAACTAGTCTTTGGGTGTTCATCTTTATATTTAAATTTAAAGTTAAATGCATACTTTAAAAGAAATCACATTACAAAGGAATTTAGGATTTGTAATATGAATATTATTTATATTTATGATTTTCTGGAAAAATATGAATCCTAATGTCTATATGCAATCTATTTTCATAATAAGAATTTTATTTATCCCCCTGTAACTTTCCTTTAAAAAAAATTTTTAACGTTTATTCATTATTGAGAGACAGACAGAGACAGAGCATGATCATGGGAGGGTCAGAGAGAAGGGGAGACACAGAATCTGAAGCAGGCTCCCGGCTCTGAGCTGTTCGCACAGAACCTGACGCAGGGCTTGAACCCACAAACTACGAGATCATGACCTGAGCTGAAGTCAGACGCTTAACCGACTGAGCCACCCAGGCATCCCACTGTAACTTTCCTTTAATACCATTCATTAAATAAAATCCATTTTGGTCAATAGTTTTCTTCCAGATGACAGAAACTTCCCTTTATGCTATGGAGCCAATTCATGAAAGGACTGACTCCGTCATGATTTATCTTTGAGTTATACAGCAACAAAAATTAAATTAACCAAATGACAAACTATTAGCCTTGAACAGCTATAGCTCAGAAGCATGATCTTCCTTACATGGCACAAGCCTGCCTCCTTATTACTGACATTTAGTAACCATACTCCTACATCATCTAAAATAGGATTTCTAACCTGAAGTTCTTAGATGGGCTTCAGGCATAAATACATATATATATGTATGTATATATGTATGTATATATATATATATATGTATGTATGTACATACATACATATATGGGCTTCTGAGTGGCTCAGTGGGTTAGGCATTTGACTTTGGCTCAGGTCATGATCTCACAGTTTGTGAGTTCAAGCCCCACATAGGGCTCTGTGCTGACAGCTCAGAAACTGCTTCTGATCCTCTGTCTTCCTCTCTCTCTGTCCCTGTCCCTTTTTCTCTTTCACGCAAACACACGTTCTCTCTTTTAAAACAAAATGTTTTAAAATGTGTGTGTGCATTATTCTGGGAAGACATTCTATAACTTTCATCAGCTTAAGATCTTCACTGAAATTACAGGGTCTATCTTTTTTCCTTATGATAAAGCCTTTCAGGTGCCTTAACCTTAAACTTCTTTCCTAAGTATCTTTTTTAAGCCTAATATCCCTAGATGCCTCAACTCTTCATTATCTAACAGGACTTCTAGACCCTTCAACAATCTTATCAGGTCTTGATTTCCTTTATCCGGATAAGTTCTAGTTTATCAATATGGCCCATAAAATGTGACATCCAGAATCAGACACTTTTATAGTGAATTATGTAGACAGTAGTGAGCTACAGACTTCTTTTTTTTTTTTTCTGGAAACTATGTTAATATAAACTAACATTAATGTTCATGATTTGCTTTGTGAGACACCACATACATAGCTCACCCTGCTGAGAGCTCTAGTCCTGAAAAATAACTAACATGCTATGTGGTCTGAAGGGAACTCTCTGTACCATTCTTCTAAAACTATATTGAAAATAAAAAAAAAATAGTTATACCACTTATTAAACAAGTGTACAGTTATTCAACAGGTCTCATACTATGTTTTCTTTTGTAGTTCCATGCTTACATAATAAGATAGGAATTCGAATGGTTGCCAGCTTGCTTATTGAAGAAAATTATAATCTATCTCATGCCTTTTCCCATTTCACATCCCTTGACCCTTCAGTCTGATAGCCCTTCTAAAGTAATCTTCCTTTCCAGAGGAATTCCAGGCTTGAAAACTGATGCCTCCTTTCCTCATAAAACCAACAGAGTTGGCTTATTTCAGGTTGTGTCCCTAGTTTTCAGGCTTCGGTTTAAAACTGACTGAGTTCATGCCTACTCCTCTGTATATGGTTGATTTTGGAGACTTCAACATTCTTTTTTTAAATTTTTTTTTTTTCAACGTTTATTTATTTTTGGGACAGAGAGAGACAGAGCATGAACGGGGGAGGGGCAGAGAGAGAGGGAGACACAGAATCGGAAACAGGCTCCAGGCTCTGAGCCATCAGCCCAGAGCCCGACGCGGGTGGAGACTTCAACATTCTTAAAACACGTGTTCCTTAAAAAAGGAAATTGTCAACAGCATATTTTTAGGATCTCACATGAGGTAAATACCAATGTTCATTTATAACTAAGAAGCATTCGGATGTTAAAATGCACATATCATATAATTAGAGAATTATGTACTATTTAATGGATCTGCAGTGTTTTTTAATATTTTGTATAATTTTAAAAAGAACTAGTTTTACATGTCCTAAATATTGGCTTACAAGTAGGTATAAATAAAGAACCCATTACATAATATTTAGTTGGCATTCCTCTTTGAATCACTTAGATTAAAATTAAGCACTGGTAATACTTCTGAAAAATTGTTATTCTTTTAAGTGGAGGAATTTTGGAAAGAAATCAAACCTGGAAACTTTTGCTAAATAGATCATTTAAAACATACAGTCAACTCTCGATTATTCAAACTAATGGAGGAAAGGATGGAACAAGCATTAATATTTCTTTAGTTCCTGCCCCTCAGATAACTGCCGAGAGCTTCATTCCAAATTCTTGGGCTTTCCATCTTGACCATGTTACGTTTCCTAGCCGTGTATCTAGGATGCAGTCTGAAATGTGGCTTACAATTGAGTTGACATGAACATCTCATGTTATATTCTGCTTTTATATACATTTCTTTAAATCAGTGCTTTAGCACTGCCTTTTACTATTAAAATTCACATGAGAAACTGATAACATTGCCATTAGGATATTATCCTGATGGCTCATAAACTTAGTTTTATATTAAAAAATCTTTTGTTTGAATTACAACTTACAGATAATTATGACCTTTCAAAAGCATTACCTCATGGTATCAAATTGCTTTTTAATTTTTTTAATATAAAAATTTTATGAGACTTTTTATTTTGAAGAGTCTTTTATAAAAATTCCTTCAACTTTTTGAATTCTTAATGGGTGCAATATTTCTGAGTACTATATGTAAGTGTTTGTAAAAGGGAAGAAATGCTGAAGGAATTTATGTGTGAAAACAGTATGTTGTGTGTATATAATACATCATTTTCTCTACTAATTAACTGCACACAGTGTGCTATTATCCAGACATAAGTATTCATGGGAACGCATGTATCTGGATAACTACGAGTTGAAATAAACACACCTGCCTTTTATTTCAATAACTGCACATTCAAATCCACATAAGGTATTTATTTGAATGTGACCTCTGCATACATGAGAGAACATTGGCTTCAGTGTTCTATTTTTTTGTTGATGTTTTGTTGTTGTTGATTTAAATCTAAAATAGGTACAGACTGTGGATAATGCTTCTCTGGAAAACTTTGCATGCAGGGAAAAGGAAATTCAAAGATAAATCCTATGAAAAACCATTGAAACTGTTTTGTTTTATTGTATTTTGCCTCACTATGTATTGAAGCTAAATTCTTGTAGAATGTAGCAATGCTTAAAGCCAAAGTATGTGTACAGACCCTAAACCCACCTGGAATTGTGCCTACTTTAAGTTGAATAATGTAATTTTTTTTTTTTTTTTAATTTTTGGTTTTCGGTTTGTAGAATCTTATCTCAAGTTCTTCCCTGGAATAGTGTATTAGAGCATGTCTTTGAGAAATCATGTTTTCTGTTAGGCAGTGGAAGTGTTTGTTAAAAGGCTTAAAGTCTATAGCGTAGTTTCCCCTTGCCCCCACCATTTACGCCATATTTCCGTAAAGTTAGTTTTAACTGACATGAGCCAGAAAATTGAATTAGGATTTCTTTGGGAGTCTTAACTTTGAATTTCCTACTTTTCATTGCATGTAAACTATCAACCACAAGTAATAGTTTCAGTTCAAGTTCTAGCTTGTATTTTGCATGTTAAAGCTATAAAAAGTCTATTAATGCTGGAAAGAATTTATGGCTATTGTTCTGCTATCGCCTGATTGTTAAAATTTATAAATAAAGACCGGCTTTATTTATGTAAACTTGTCTTTCTGCCATAGGGAGTGAACTACTTTATGTCCAAGGGTATCCTAGATGATTCACCAAAGGAAATAGCAAAGTTTATCTTCTGTACAAGAACACTAAATTGGAAAAAACTGAGAATCTATCTTGATGAAAGGTAAAAAAAAAAAAAAAAAAAATTTACGTCTTCTTTAGAATTAGCTAAGTAATGTTTTTGATGAGTTAAGCTTTTCTTTAAAAGCTATACCACATAGCAGTCATCTAGTTAAGAAATTTCTCTCGCAGCTATTTATAACTACCATTGCAGCCTAAAAGCAGACAAACAGTATGTGAACCAATGATGGCTTTTTTTTAATGTTTTTTTATTTATTTTTGAGAGAGAAAGAGAGAGAGAGAGAGAGAGCGAGCACGAGTGGGAAAGGGGCAGAGAGAGAGGGAGACACAGAATCCAAAGCAGGTTCCAGGCTCTGAGCTGTCAGCACGGAGCCTGACGAACATGGCTTTCTTCTAATAAAATTTTGTTTACAAAACAGGTAGTGGGCCCTATTTGGACCACTAGCTATAATTTGCTTATCCCTACCATAAACAATTGATAGAAATTAAAGATGATGATCATACAATCATGATTGAGTTCAACAAGAGTTGAAGCATATTATACCAAAGTGTGACTATTAGAATGCCATTGATAAAAAATACTTATATATGTACACACATATACTTACACAAGTATTTATGTAGTTGTAAATAATCTAAATGTTCATAAGTAGAAAGAAGGGTACTGTGGAGCCATTAAAAAGAATGATTTAGATCTGTGTGTAAAGATATAGAAAGATATAGAAAGCTGTTCACAATATACCATATGAACTAGGAAAAGCAAATACTAGAAAAATATATAGTACATGTTGACATTTTTAAGTCCACATAAATAGTTGTCACCTCTGGTGGTGTGGACTGGTATGGAAAGTGAAAACTCTTAATTATTTTCATAGTTAAAAGCATAAAGAATTTTGTTATTTGGATTTAGTCAAGAAGACGCTTGAAAAGAAGCTGTCCCTTTTAATGTTGCTGAATTTATTTTTTCTTCATTTTATAATTAGAATTGCTAGCTTCAGTTGCTTTATAATAACCCATTCACAAAAGATTTTAAAATTAGTGTCTTAAATAATCATAATCGGATTTTTTAATTTTAAGGATTATGTATTACTTTGTAGGATTAGCTGATCTCATAATCAGTAACAAAGTATTTTCATCCAAACAGATGATGATTTATGAGTGCTTATCATTTTCTTAGTAGAGAAATGGTAATTAAAGCTGTACCTTTTTTCTTTTTCCACTAGGAGAGATGTCTTGGATGACCTTGTAACATTGCATAATTTTAGAAATCAATTCTTGCCCAATGCACTGAGAGAATTTTTTCGTCATATCCATGCCCCCGAAGAGCGTGGGGAGTATCTTGAAACTCTCATAACAAAGTTCTCACATAGATTCTGTGCTTGCAACCCCGATTTAATGCGAGAACTTGGCCTTAGTCCTGGTAAGAATATATATAGTGAATTCCTTCCATCTCCCTTCCTGCCTCCAGGTAAAAATAGTAGTATATGAGACATTTTTTTCTCACCGTGGGGAAAGATAGTTTGAGTAATTATAAATAACTTCTCTTAGTACTTGTAGCAATCACTAAATATACGGAAAACTACATTTATGTGAGCTTAGAGGAATAGTTTGTTATAACTGTCCTTCATATGTAGTAAACATACCATTTTATTTTTTTAAGTTTATTTATTTATTTTGAGAGAGAGAGAGAGCAAGCAAGCAAGCAGGAGAGAGGCAGAGAGAGGGGGAGAGAGAGAGAATCTCATGCAGACTCCTCATTGTCAACGCGGAGCCCGAAGGAGGCTTGAACTCATGAACTATGAGGTCATGACCTGAGCCGAAACCAAGAGTCGGATGCTTACCTGACTGAGCCACCCAGGCGCCCCTAAACATACAGTTTTAGAAAGAAAATGAGACTTAGGTATAAATTCTTTAAAATGATTCTGGCCTGAGCATTGCATATTATTATTAATTTAACTAAAAACTTGAGAAATCATTTTTAAAGCTTTTCATAGTTCACGTATGACATAGGTAACACCTAGAACTTTTCTACTAAAACTTAATTTTAATATAACGAATCTTTATCATCTGTGTCTGAGTCTGTGTCTGTGTGTGTGTGCAGTATAGGCCAAGTATCCTGCATATTTTTTCATTTGACTGAGCTTTACTTATCTCTTCATATCAACAACTTTATCATGCTTATCTTATTAAGTGGCGATTACAAAACATTCGCCCATCATGAAATTTGGTGAAAATGCTTTTACAAGACGTACTATTTAACTTAGCTTTCTTAAGATTGCAGGATTCTGTAATAAAAACACTATAGTAGTAGCAAGTACTTGTAGCAAATAATACTAGCAAGTATCTTGAGGCTTGTTACTTTTTTGATAGGAAGCATCAAATACTGCCTTGGGCATATAAAGTCATTTGTTATTGTCTCATGCTGCTCAGGTTTAGCAATCTTTTTCCCTAGAAATTTACATTCTAATCTTGATTTCTTTAAATGGTGACAAGTTTTGCATTATAGGGTGCCTTGGGGACCACATTTTCCAAAGCAGCTAATAATTTGAGGTGTTTCTTTTTAATTCCAGATGCTGTCTATGTACTGTGCTACTCTTTGATTCTACTTTCCATTGACCTCACTAGCCCTCACGTGAAGAATAAGATGTCAAAAAGAGAATTTATTCGAAATACCCGTCGTGCTGCTCAAAACATTAGTGAAGATTTTGTAGGGCATCTTTATGACAACATCTACCTTATTGGCCACGTGGCTGCATAAAAGCACAATTGCTAGGACTTCCACTATTAACTTCAAACTAAAGTTACCCAAGGACTTATTTAGCAGTTATGGGGGTTACATTAGTGCTGGTCATCCTGGCCTCTGTATACAATCAAGCTTGAGTATACACCTTTTTTTTTTTCCTTTTACTCTTTTCTTTTTTAGTAATTTCCTTGGGGAGCTAAAGGATTTTGCAGAATTTTTCTTAATTTTGCTTATCATGTTTTGCACAAAGCAGAGCCATTGTCTGACACAGCTGTTTAAGAATGTTAAACTGACATTATACTCTAAGGGATGGTATATTTGTGCATTAGATTTGCTTGAAAAACTATTTGTTTTCATTCTTTTTAAAAATACCATGTAATGTGTACATATTTAATGAAAGAGATTTATAATCATAATTATTTTATTGTAAAGATTTTAACTAAAGCCTTTCCTTTTCTCTCAAACTGAGTTCTGAAATTTATTTGATTCTGATCTGAACTTTTTACTGTCTTCATAAAAGTTGGATCTGACTTGGATGAAAACCAATACCCGTTTGTCTTTCCTTTGAACTTTGAAAAGAGTATTTATTGTTTTGTTGCTAGTAACAAGCAAAACAGGCACTTATTTTTATAATATAAATTCATCACTTGACTTTCCATTTTTAAAAGTTTCCTCATTTGTCATGTTTTAGTCTTGTCTCAATAAGTCCTTTAAGCCATTTGAGATAGCAAAATGTATTAAATCTAAGATTTACATACATAGGAACAGAATGTTATTAGAACTTCTATCTGATGTCATTTGTCAAACTTTACCATTCTCTTAACTTGATAATTTGTGTTTAGAACCAGTTGAGTAAGGGATGTTGTGAATGAATAAAGAACCTTTATTCATTCATTCATTCAATAAATATTTACCAAGGGCCTTCCGTGTATTAAACACTGTGCTAGGTAGTAGTGATACCTAGACATGGACCCTGCCTTCATAGATGTTACATGACTAGTAACAAAAGGAAAAATACAGCTTCGTGGAGAGCAAATGAAGAATAGCTTAACTAATAATCATTTAATTATGAACCACTTGGCATTGAAATGGTAAAGACTAGTATATTTATATGGTAAGTCAGAAGTTTTCTGGTAATACTAAGTGCTAAGTGAAAAGCACCAGCTTTGAAATGAGACATTATGTGATGGGTCGAACTCTAGTCTGGGTGGGGGGGGAGCTTGGAGGGGCAGAAACTTGGGCTGGAGGTGTACAATCCTGGCTTCTTTAGAGATCTGATCCTAAGTAAATAGCGGTCTGGTAACATCTCAACTACAGTGATGTTCTACAGAATTTTAGCAACACGACGTAAGGTGATCAAACAATGTCAGAAGTCAAAGGGACTTTTAGACTGGGAGTAAACAAGTTCTCAGATCTTGAGGCAAGTATCAACATTTTCACATGTGCATAATTTCAAACTCCATGACAAAACAATCCTTCCTAATTTTAACTTCAAAACTAATGTATGGAAAAGTTTCTAAAGACACTGATGATAACGTTATTGTTTCTATTTTCCAGTGAATGGCAGGCATCTTGCCCTCTCTAGCTCCCCCTATCTTGTCTTTTTTTTTTTTTTCCATCCCCAACTCTCCCTTACCATTAGGTCCTTTCTACATCTCTGTTTTAGCTTTACTTTCTCTTTTCTTTCCTTCTATTTCTTCTTCTTCTTTTTTGTATCTTCCATTTCCCAACTTTGTCCCTTTTTCCTGTTTTATTTTCTCCACCCTGACCTGATGACCTGATTATAAATGTAGGCCGGCAATATTCTTTTTTTTTTTTTTTTAACATTTTCTTTGAAATTTTTCGAACGTATAAAAAAGATGCAGAAAAATGCCCGTATAACCACTGTGTAGATTCTACAATTACATTGTATTTGTACTCACTTTACCACATATTTGTACATCCCCCTGTCCATCAATCAACCCATCTTATTGTTTTGATACAGGTAATCCCAAGTTTCAGACATCAGTACGCTTCATTCCTAAGGCCTTCAACTTGTATATTGTTAGCTAGAGAGCTACCTTGTTTAAAGTTTTTTCTTTATAGGTAAAATTTACATTCAATGAAATGCATAAATCTTAGGGACACGAATCCATGAATCTTCATAAATGCATATACGTGAGTAAACCAAGCATGTATCAAGATAAGCAACTTTATGCAACCTGTTTATAGGTAATATTTGCACCCTTCACATAAAGTATAAAAACCTTGTAACCACATACAGTGTTTACCCCATTCTTCCATTTGTTGCCTTACAGTTGTCATATGTGTTACATAGAGTGTATGTTATAAACTCCACAATGTGATAGTTTGCTTTGAGTAGTCGTATACATTTTAAACAAACAAACAAACAAAAAAAAACCCTCCTTCATATTTACACACATTGTCATTTCGAATGCTTTTATTCCATCCTGAAAATCTAAGTTTCCTTGTAGTATCATTTATGTCAGCCTGAAAAATTTTAACATCTATTACAGTTCAGATCTCCTGCCAATTTATCATAGTTTTCTTTTACATGAAAATGCCTTTATTTTGTTTTTCTTTTTGAAGAACGCTTTTGCTGAATATATAATTCTGTGTTGACAGTTTCTTCCCCTGCCCCCTTTGATACTTTAAAGCTGTTCCTCTACCGTCTTCTGGTCTCCTCTGTTTCCATTAAGAAGTCAGTGTAGGGGAGCCTGGGTGGCTCAGTTAGTTAAGCGTCCGACTTGGGCTCAGGACATGATCTCGCGGTTTGTGGGTCCGAGACCCGCGCTGCGCTCTGTGCTGACAGCTTGCACAGAGCCTGGACCCTGCTTCTGATTCTGTGTCTCCCCCTCTCTCTGCCCCCACAGTGCTCATGCTCTGTCTCTCTCTGTCTCTCAATAATAAATAAACATTAAAAAAAAAAAGTCAATGTATTCAACGTGTTTTCTCCCTGTGTGTATAATAATGCCATTTTCCTCTCACAGTTTTATTTTGTCACATATTTTTCTGCCTCATTTTCTCTTTCCACTCCTTTACACATGTGCTCGAACTTTTGATATCATCTCACAGATTTTTTATCTTTTTTCTTCCTCTCCAACTGGATTATTTCTCTTGATCTATATTCTAGGTCACTGACTCTTCTGTAATCGTCCTTCTTTGAAGCCCATTCAATCAACTTTTTTTCTCTTAATCATGATGTTTTTTGGTTCTAGAAATTCCTTCTGGTTCTTTATAATTTACATTTCTGTACCGAGATTTCCTGTCTTCATTTACTACAAGCACATTTTCCCTTACAACCTTGAACATAGTTAAATAGCAGCTTTAAATCTTTATCTGCTCATTTCATCCTTTTGACTGTCTCTTCTTTTGAGAATAGATTGTATTTTCCTGTTTGTTCAATATGTTAGTAATTTAGTTTTTGTCCTGGACACGGTGAATAAAATATGGTGAAACCCTGGATTATGATATATTTCTCCAAATAACTTTTTTTTTTTTTTTTTTTTTTTTTTTTTTTTTTTTTTTTTTTTTTAAGCTGGGAGTTAACTGGCAGAGCTCAGTTGCAAGCTCTCACTCCCCTGAAGTTGGTGGCAGCTCGGATATCAGTTTATTTCTTTAACCTGGCATCTTTTTTTGTCTGTACAGACTTCAGAGAGAAGCCAGAGTTTCGGGCACAGTTCCTACACAGAAACCAGGGCCCTCTCTGGTTCTTTTCTTGCCATTATTTCTTTCTTAATTTTCTAGCAACCGCTGTTGCCCCAAACTCTGTCCCCTGGTTCTTCAAGTCAGTGAAACCATAGGCTATGATGCAGACTGGGGACTCACCCTCATGCAGAAAGTATAAAAATGGGAAAACTCATCCAATGCCGCCATCTTCCAAGCATTCTCTCCTCTGTAGGATCAGCCTATATCGGATTGCTTTCCATAACTTTCAGGTAGTGGATTTCCATATTTTGTCCAGAGTTTGTGGTTTTATCTGTTCAAGGAAGAGCTATTTGGCCATCGTTTGAAGTAGAACCCTCTTTGATTGGGCAGTATTCTTTTCAATACTTTTTAATCCTTTTAACAACGATGTTTTTATTGATGGAGAACACAAGCAGGGAAGGGGCAGAGGGAGAGGGAGAATCTTAAACAGGCTCCAGGCCCAGCACGAACCATGAGATCATGACCTGAGCCGAAATCAAAAGTTGGACGCTTAACCAACTGAGCCACCCTGGTGCCTTTTTTTCTCCTACACTTACTGAATAGGGATTTATCCCTGGCATTTTAAAACATAAGTATGTTTAAATGCTCCAGTAAAGAAAATCTATCATAACAAATGTTTGCTGAATGCTTAATTAGAAATTCAGTGTTTTCCAGGGGAAGTCCCACTGGCTTTTGGGGAAGGATATTCATTATGGGAGACTGCTCCCTATAGCATAGGAAGGACATCAACATTCCTGGATTTTGCCTGCTAGATGCCAGTAATTGTGACGTACAAATAATGTTCCCCACGTATTTCCAAGTGCGTGAAGTTGGGAACTGGTGGACCTTCTTTCTGATCAAACAAGTTTACCTTTGTAAAACACAAACTCTTTATGGTACATCTGTTTAAAGTCTTTCAGTGTCTCCGTTTCTACAAAACTTCTGCACAACCTGGCCTCGGCTTATCTTTTTTTAAAGCCTCATCTCCAACATTCCTCAAATGTGGTCTGGTCTGTCTTTGCCTTTTACAAGCTGTTCTGTCTGAGAGATCCTTCTCTCCCCTCTATATCTAAAGTTCCCCTACTCATCATCTAAGATCCACCTCGAATAGAAGTTATTCATCAAAGCTCTCAAATACTACCTTTCTTCTATAAGGCCTGAACTAGGTAAATGGCAGAGGATTTAGAAAGGATGAAGGAATAAATTTAAAAAATACTGAAAATTGACAGGATTTAGTGATTTTGGAGGAAGATTTTTGATTTAAGGGTCTGGTGGTCCTCTATCAAAGGTGTAGCTGCTAAGAGAAGCAACCAGTGGAATGAAATGGAACAGATAAGGATCCCAACTTTTGGATATTTTGTATTTGAAAGTATCAATAGAATGTTGATCGCAGCTGGAGAAGAAGACTAGAGTTTCAAAAACTCAGG